TCAGTCAACACAGGTCAGTGGATGGACAGGAGCCGATGACTTTGGTTCAATTCAACACACTTTGATTAGAAAGCTGCTCTGAGCCACCTGGGATAGAGCAATTCACAGCCTGGGCCCGGAGTCCTATTTCACTGGAGAGGGCAAGTTCAGGAGAGGGAGGAGGGGGAATGAACTCGTGTTCATAGTGCACCTGCTATGGGCATGCTTACCATTATTCATGTTTCACAGCAGCCCCTGATGGGCAGAATAATAATTAGCCATATTTTTCAGAGGAGGAAGCTCTGGGTTCAGAGGAACAAAATTCTTTCATCAACAAATATTTAGAGTCTATACAATGATCCAGGCACTGTGCTGGGCACTGAGGATCTGGGGTGGGAAAACAGGCAGGCATTCTGTTCTTGCATAGCTTGTAGGCTGTACGGGAGAGCAGCATTAAACAAGAAAACACAGATGAATGGATGATTACCAGTTTCAGTAAGGGCTGGAAAGAAAGAGAGTGGGAGGCCAGGAGTGAGGACAACAGAGGGAGGAAGCATTTGGTGTGTGGAAGGGGGAGTCAGGAAAGTTCTGATGAGACTAAAGCCATAAAGAGAAGGGAGAGAAAATGGAGGTATAGACAGCTCCACGTGCAGTGGCTCCGAGATGGGGAAACACAAGTGCCATGTGGCTGGAGAGGGAAGAGCAGTGAGGTGCAGGGGCGGGGCCGTGTGGGGCCACCTGAGCCAGAGGAAAGCCTGAGGACTGCGTTCATAAGAGCACCAGGATCCAGCGAAGGCCTTTAGGCAAGGGAAGAGAGACAGGATCTGAGTTTATTTTATTTATTTATTTATTTTGAGATGGAGTCTCACTCTATCCCCCAGGCTCACTGCAACCTCCACCTCCTTCCTGGGTTCAAGCAATTCTCTGCCTCAGCCTCCCAAGGAGCTGGGATTACAGGCACCCACCACCATGCCTGGCTAATTTTTATATTTTTAGTAGAGATGGGGTTTCATCATCTTGGCCAGGCTGGTCTTGAACTCCTGATCTTGTGATCCACCCACCTCAGCCTCCCAAAGTGCTGGGATTATAGGCGTGAGCCAATGCACCCAGCCTGAGTTTATCCTTTATAAAAATAATTTCTACATTGTTCAAGGCAGAACCAGGACTGAATCTCCACACATCTCCCCAGCCCCCCACATCATGCCATCATGCTATGTCATTCGTCCACCCCATCCCCACCCAAGCCTCTGCTACCAGCCCCAGCACCCTGGGTCCTCCCCTTTCCCTGGGATGGAGGTGTGCTGTGTGACCTGGAGCCAATCTCCTGCCCTCCTGGCCTCAGTCTTCCTCTCTTCTCCCCTCAATCTGTAGCATTTCCTGTGGAAGGCCCTGCTCTGGGATTCCTGCTGATGGCTTGATGTGAGGGCAAGTGAATGAAGGACCCTGGAACAGGCCTAGGCAGGGCCTCAGGAGGGAGCAGGGAGGAGGTTCAGGAGCCAGAGTCTTGGGACAGGCATCCAGAGGCCTAGGGCTTCTGCCCCTCAACCCCAGAGAGGCCTGGGGCAGCCCATGACTCCCCATGACTCAGCCTCCCTATCTGTGAAATGGAAACCAGCCTGCTGTACACTGTGGATGATGTAATCCAAGAAAAAACCACATTTGTAATCCCAGCACTTTGGGAGGCCGAAGGAAGGGTTCACTGGAGCCCAGGTTCACTTAGAGACCAGCCTGGCCCACATGGCAAAACCTTATCCCTACAGAAAATACAAAAAGTTAGCTGGGCATGCTGACACACACCTGTAGTTCCAGCTACTCAGGAGGCTGAGGCAGGAGGACCCCCTGAGCCTGGGAGGTCGAGGATGCAGTGAGCCATGATGACACCACTGCACTCCAGCCTGGGTGGCAGAACGAGACCCTGTCTCAAAAAATAAAGTAAGAAGTTATCCAGCCATGGTGGTGCACACTTGAAGTCCCAGTTAGGACGGCTTGAGCCAGGAGGCTGCAGTGAGCCTTGATCATGCCACTGCTCTGCTCTTGAGCCTGGGTGACAGAGCAAGACCCTGTCTCAAAATAAAAAATAAAGTAAAATAAAATTCGAAGCCCCCCAACCTACTAAATGGACCCTCCTCTCAGCCAATGGGATTTCAAAGAAACCTAAAACACTAGTTAATGTCGTGATGGGAATGGAGGGTCAGACACGCCTCACTATTCCCGCCTCCCTTTGGAATTCAGCACAGCTGGCCAGCATTAACATTAAAGCAGCCATCTTAAGACTTACAAAACAGACTTTGTAGCAATAAAATACCAAATTCCAAACTGACTCTAGTATAGCATCATATGACAGATAACAGGCAAGGAAAGAAATCAAAATATTTTACCCCAAAGTATATTTCTTTGACGTATTTTTAAATGGCCCTGCAAAGTTGTCTCTTGTGAGGGAAATTTACATTCTGTAGAGAATTCCTTTCCCTTTCCAGGTCTTTTTTTTCTGATCCTGAAGAGATTAGCTTCCAGTCCAGCTCCTTTTAGAGGTCTGAATAGAAAACATTTGCCATCTACCGCTGCTGCGAGTGGCCACCTAAGAGACTTCATCTACATTATAAGAACCTTGGTCTCTAAACTCCGTATCTTAAGCCAGACACTCTTTTCTGTTGAATCCAGGTCTTTAGATAATAACTTAACTCATTCAACCATTTGCCCAATTGCCAATCGGAAAATCTCTGAATCCACCTACGACCTCCCCACCTTTGAGTTGTCCCACGTTTCCAGACCGAACCAATGTATACCTCACACGTACTGATGTCTTAAGTCTCCCTAAAACATGTAAAACCACGCTATAACCCAACCACCTTGGGCACTTGTTCTCAAGACCTTTGGAGACTGTGCTTCAGGCCATGGTCATTCAAATTTGGCCCAGAATAAAACTCTTTAAAAATATTGTACAGAGTTTGACTCTTTTCATTGACAGCGCTTACTGGTAGCATCCGGCTCCTGACCCAAGTTGTGTTCTGGGAGCCGCCTAGGAGGATGATCTGGCTCCTTTAGTGATACCACACCCAGGGGCAGTCCGGGGAGTGAGGGCGGGCCAAGGTGTACCCCGGGTGTCCAGCTGGAGTCCTCTTCACTGTGCCCACCCTCTGTCCCCACACAGGTGAAGGTGCAGGCAAAGGGCTGACCGCTGGGGGCAGAGGCCGGCGGGGAGGGGAAGTGGAAGGCCGGCTGCAGGGGTGATGGCACCCTGGGTGAGCAGTTACCCTCCAGTCGGAGTGTGTGGGTCAGGGTCATTGTGTGTGTGTGTGTGTGTGTGTGTGTGTGTATGTGTGTGTGTGTGAATGTATGTCTGCATGTGTGTCAGTGTGTTTGAATACATGTGTATGCATGTCTGCACATGTGTGTGTCTACATTTGGGAGTGCATATGTGTGTCAATGTATGCTTTTCTGTGTATGAGTACATATGAGTGTATATCTACATGTGTGTCTGTTTGTGTAAGTATTTATTTCTGTGTATACATGTGTGTATGACTGTGTGTGAAAGCTCTGTGGCCCCCAGGCCCTTTCCCGCACCTCCTCCTCACTTCTGCAGTAGGCTTGGGGAAGATTCCAGAGGGGCCTTGGGTCCTGGTCCTTAATGTCTCAGCCTGACCAGCATTTGGGACCAGGAAGGTCTTTCTGACCTGTCCAGTCCTTGGCCAGCCCCTCCCCAGCCCGGGAAGCACCCAGGCCCACCCTGCTGCCTGGGCATTGCCTCAGCCCGCCCTTGGTGGATGGACCTGGGACACAACTGTGCTGTTCTCTCTTTTCATGCTGCCAGGAGAGACCACTATGCCTACTCCTACTACCCATAAGTAGCTCCACCTGGCCTGGGAGGCCCCGGCCCCGCCTAGGGGAGACTTCCCGCCCCCACCCTCTCCGGCTGGGCTCAAGCTCACTGCTCCCAGCCTGGCCTAGCGTCTGTACGGTTCTCCAAGGCCACTGAGGCTTCTGACTTTCCCTCCCCTGTTCTGTCCCCCCACTCTGCATCTTCCTCCTCAAGTCGTGGTCACCAGTGCTGGAGCTGACTCTGCGGAGTCACCTGAGCAAGTCACCTGTCCTCCCTTAGTCTCAATGTCCTCTCCACCACCAGGGCAGGTCCTTATGTCCTTGAAGCATTCCTTGTGGTCAGAAGGATGTCCTACAGAGCACAGTGGCTCATGCCTGTAATCCCAGCACTTTGGGAGGCCAAGGTGGGTGAATTGCTTGAGCCTAGGAGTTTGAGACCAGCCTGTGTAACGTGGCAAAAATCTGTATATACAAAAAATAGAAAAATCAGCCAGGCATGATGGCACATGCCTATAGTCCCAGCTACTCAGGAGGCCGAGGTGGGAGGATCACTTGAACCCAGGAGGTTGAGGCTGCAGTGAGCCATGTTCTGGCCACTGCACTCCATCCTGGGCAACAGAGCAAGACCCTGTCTCAAAAAACACAAAAAACGAAGTACATCCACATCCAGGAGCATCCTTACACAGGTCCCACTCTGGAGTCCATGCCTGTGTGCACGTGTGTGCTTGCATGCATGAGGACCGGCCAACCGGTCCCGACACTGGCGCCTCTGTTCACAGTACAGACGACTCTCAGATCCCCATGAGTTCCTTCCCCAGCCAGGCAGCCCCAGCTCTGCAGACCCACCTCTTGCTGGGCGCCTCCTCTGGGCCAAGCCCTGGGCTCAGTTCTGGACACAGAGTCCCCAAGGCAGCCCTGACAATAGGATCTCTTATCACTCCCACGTTACTGATGAGGAAACTGAGGCTCAGAGAGGCCGAGGGACCTGTGGGAGGTCGCAGAATGTGCCCGAGCTGGGACACAACCCAGGCCCCTGCTGACTTCACAGCCTGCCTATGCTACTCTGTCTTCTGTCTCTGTACTCTCCTCTGCAAGTCTTCCAGAACATTCCTCTCACACCTCCTAGAGCAAGCCGAGATGGCGCTGGGCCAGCCCTAAGGACGGCAGATCTTTCACCTCCTCCTCCCTGGGCGGCTCCTCACCTTGCTGATTCCCACATGAGCTTTTCCAGCAACTCAACACCCAGCGACTCTGCTGAGCCCCGGGCTCAGCTCCTGCAGGGGCTGCGGACAGGCCGCTCTCCCTCCCCACTGCTTGTGCAGTTAGTTTTCAAAGCCAGATGCAGAACTTTCCAAAGTGTCTGTATTAAATTCCATCTGCTGAATCTCGCACTGAGCTCAGCTGGATGCCAGCGGCGTTAGTGTCCCTCCCGGGTTCCGGCGTCTGTGGATCCGGTTGGTTTGTTTCTCCAAGGCTGGGAACAGAGCTGTGGCACGACCGGAGACCGCCTCTAGGCCAGCATCCGCTCACTGACAGGGCCTCTCTGGGCTCCACGCACAGCCACCCTGGCCGGCTGTCCTCTGTCTGTGGCCCTGTCTGTCTTCCCTGTGGCTTCCTCTCTCTCTCTGTCCCCTTCCCCATCTCTCCATCTCCTTGTTACTGTCGCTTTCTCTCTTCTCCTCTCCTCCTCCTTCTCTGTCTCTCCCTAGCCCCTTCCCCACTCAAAGTAGTCACGGTCACAGCCACAGAGGCTGCTCCTTACCTGCCCCCAAAGGGGGCTTTGGCTCCAACCTGGGCCACAGTGAGGGCGATGCCCAGAGCCTGGCAGGGACTGGGAGTAGGAGGCCTGGGCCTGCTGAGCCGTCTCCCATCCAGGCTGGGAAGGCTGTGCCCTCCTCAGTGCCCAACAGCAGTTGCCCTGGTGGGGACACACAGCCATCTTCTTAGCACGGGAAGGACATCCTGGTCCTGGCAGGAGGGGCATCCAGAGGTCATCTTGTCCCTTGCCCCAGGACAGGCTGGCTGAGGTTTTCCTGGGAAGACCCTTTCATTGGCCTCCCTGTTCCCATGGATGGTCGGTGTCCCTGAGCCCTCAAAACCTGGAAGTCCTTTCTCTGATCCACCCTGCATCCTGCATGCTGTAGGGCCGAGCAAGTGAACAGCTCTTTCCGCTGGCCCCTTGGGCTCACCTCCAGCCTTGACAAGAGTCCCAGGTTGTTTCCCCTGTGCCTGTTTCTTGGACCCTTCATCATGGAGCTGTCCCCTGCCTCTCCACCTCCTTCTCTCCCTCCCACTTTCTCCAAGTTTTTCCAGGATCACAAACTGCTGTCCTCATGCATGAAACTGGGCCTGGAGGCCTGGGCCGTGCAGGGCCCTTGCCCAGAAGCTGCTCCAGAAGCTCTGCCCCTCCAGTGGAGGGACCGGGGCCTCTCACCTTCTCCCCCTGCTGCTTAGGCTGATGGGGGAGAGGGGCTGGGCAGGCTGATGGGGGTGGCAGGAAGATGGACCCTGGGTGGGTTTCTGTTCCATATCCTTTGTGGCTGGTAATGGGCCGAGGCCTGGTGGTTTCTGGGAGAAATGGGCACAGGACTGAGAGGCGCAGGTTGGAGCTCAGCCCCTGCCGACAAGAAACCGCATCAATCAGGCTATTGCCAAACCCCAGTCATGAGGAAGGAGGATGGCTTCACACAGCCCATTCCCGCTGCTGGAGAAAATCAATTTGACTGTAGGTCTTGGGAGCGGATGAGGGGAAAGGGGATGGAGGTGGAGACACACTGTGCTGGAGCCAGGCCAGCCACCTTCCTAGTTTGGGGTGCAGTGGGGCAGGGGAACTGTCTGCTGTGACACCAAAGTGGGCCTGGAGTGGCTTTCCCTTCCATTTTCTGAGCCCATGGGGACAGTGAGACTTAGAAGCAGGATCCCAGCCTGAGGTCACTGCTGCTCCATGCCTTGCCCTCAGCAAAGGTCCCCAGGACAGGGACCCTGCCAGCTTCATTTGGGGGAGGCAGCACTCTCTGGGTTTGATGAGTGAAGGACGGAGGCAGAGCCCTTCAGCATCCAGAGATGCTTCAAGGACAGCTACTGGCTCCAGGCCTCAAGGCCCTTGACTTCAGGGCCTTCCCACCCACCTCTGAGTGCTGTCCAGCCCCACACACTGCCTGTGTCTCCTCCCATCAACCCCCCAACCCCACCCCACAGGAAGCTGGTGAAAGATACCAAGACCACTGTCAATTACTGCCAGGAGAGGACCCACATGATGAGCGCCATGGGCCAGAGCTTCACAGACCAGAGGCCCCTGCAGGAGGAGGAGTGGCTGGGCCTGTCCTTCATGGACACCCATGGCTACAGCTCCTGGGGTGAGTACCCAGCCCTCCGGTCCCTTCCACATTGCTCTGGGGCTCCTGACCCAAGTCAAAAGGATCAAGCCTCTCTGGAGTACTCCTCACATTGGATGAGTTCTGTTAACACCATGAATCAAAATCGAAGCATCTATCGTGCCCCTTCTGGGTACCAACACTGGACTAGAAACACAGAGAAAGCATATGGGGTATCTTGTACTGAAGAAGCTTTTAGAGCATGGAGGACTTAGACACAGACTCATGCTAAAGCCCTCTGCTGGACACTGCTCTGAACCCACCTAACAAATATTAAAAGCAAACCAGCATAAGCAAACTGTTTCCCAGTAACTTAGCTATATGCCAGACAAAGCTCAAGAATATTTACAGGAATACAAACATATATGGCCTCCCAAAAAAATTTGCAATATCTGACATCCAATCAAAAATTACCAGACATGCAAAGAGGCATAAAAATATGACTAAAAATGAGGAGAAAAATAATTCAATTGAAACTGATTCAGCAGGCAGACCATGGTCAAAGCAGGGGTGACTGGGAAATTCAAGCTGTGTTCAAGAAACTGGAAGAGAGTCTCGGCATCTTCTCTCTCCTTTCACCACTTACCACGCACTGGTACAGGATCCACCTTGCTATGGTTGGAATGCCTCCTCCAAAACTATGTTGACACGTAATCCCTGTTGTAACAGTGTTAAGATGTAGCCTGTGAGAGGTGATTATGATAAGATAAGCTCAGCAGGGTGGGATCCCTATGATGGGACTGGTGACTTTATAAGAAGAGGAAGAGAAGTCTGAGCAGGCGTGTTCTAGGCGCCTCACCATGTGATGCCCTGCACCACTTCAAGACTCTGCAGAGGAGACAAACAAGGAAGTCCTCACCAGATGTAGCTCCTTGCCTTGGACTTCCCAGCCTCCAGAACTGTGAGAAATAAATTTATTTTCTTTATAAAACAGCAAGTTTATGGTGCAACAGAAAACTATCTAAGACACACCCCTACCCTTTCTTCTTCAAAATGTAGAGACTCAACTCCTGTGGCATATGTCTGAAATTCATGTTATTTTGACAGTTCCTCAATATGAAAATTTTTTCAAATGGACTTATCAAACATACCTCATACCCAGATTTGTATTTTAATACCATTTTCCAACAAAAGGAACCAGAGGTTTCTGGAGAAATTTGGCTGATTCTAAGACTAGGTTAGTAAATGTACCAAATGAGCCTAGAGGATCTCATAGTGCCAGGAAGTAAGTAGAAAGTGCTTAACACATTTACACACAATAATAAAAAACTGTCAAAGGAATACATGTACCAACTGAAAAAAAATCTCTCAATGACCAAAATCAGACAAAAAACAAGAGCAAAATGTAAATAAAGTAATATCATATTATAACCCAAAGTATAAAATAAATGTCTGTGACTTCGTACTGATTTAAATAAATTATTGAATAAGTTAATATGGAATAAGACTCTTCTCTGCAGGGTCTTGAAGTGGTGCAGGGCATCACATGGTAAGGGGGCTAAAGCACACCTGCTCAGACCTCTCTTCCTCTTCTTATAAAACCACCAATCCCATCACAGGAATACCACCCTGATAAGTTTATCTTATCCTAATTACCTCTCTCTCATCTTCCCCCATGAAGAAGAATTCCAAATAATTTAGTTAGATGCTCAGCACTCAAAGGGGTAGAGCTTAACTCCTCCTTAAGGGTGGCTGCATATACATATAATGACTTCCTTCTAAAGAGTGCAGTATGAAAAGAAATAGAAAGAGTAATTTTATGGTGGAGAAACCTGATTAACGTGACCTTACCCAGGTGATTAAAATTAACATCATCACTGATAAGTCATGGTGATAGCTTGTACTCTTAATGTGACATAAGAATGGTGCTTTACCTCTGTCATCTTCCTCCCTAAAAAATATAACCCCATATAATTACAAGAAAAAAATCAGACAAACCCCAGTTGAGGCTTGACAAGTGATACTGGGACAACTGTTCGATCAGAGGCAAAAGAACGAATCCCGACCCCTACCTCACACCATCTACAAAACTAACTCAAAACGGATCAAGTTCTAAATGTAAGAGCTAAAACTATAGAACTCTTAGATGAAAATGTGAATGTAAATCTTTGTGTCCTTGGATTAGGCAATGGACTCTTAAGTAAGACACCTAAAGAGCAACTGACCAAAGAAAAATAGATAAATTCGACTCCATCACAATTAAAAGCTTTTGTGATTCAAAGGATACTCTCAAGAAAGTGAAAAGACAACCCACAGAATGGGAAAGAATATTTGTAAGTCATATATCTGACAAGGGCCTAGTACACATAATATATTAAGAACTCTTACAACTAAACAACAAATAAAAGACAGATAATCCCATTTTTATTTTTATTTTTTTTGAAAGAAAAAAAAAGAGAGAAAAAGAAAAAAAAAAGAATGAAAGAGAGGAAGAAAGAAGAAGAGAAAGAGGGAGAGAGAACGGAAGTGTTGCTTTATTGCCCAGGCAAGAATGCTCTCTAAAAATGGGTATTGAAAACCTCTTTTATGCCAATAATTATGAGAGTAGGTGTGATGTGGTGCTGATAAGAATGTATGTTTTGTGTATTTGGGGTGGAGATTCTATAAATGTTTATTAAGTTTACTTGTTCCAGGTCTGAGTTCAAGTCCTGGATATCCTTGTTAATTTTCTGTCTCGTTGATCTGTCTAATATTGACAATGTGATGTTAAAGTCTCCCACTATTATTGTGTGGGAGTCTCAGTCTCTTTATAAGTCATTAAGAACTTATGTATCTGGGTGCTCCTATATTGGGTACATATATATATATATATAGGATCATTAGCTCTTCTTGTTGCATTAATCCTTTTACCATTATGTAATATCCTTCTTTGCCTCTTTTGATCTTTGTTGCTTTAAAGTCTGTCTTATCAGAGGTGAGAATTGCAACTCCTGCTTTTTATTTATTTATTTATTTTTGCTCTCCATTTGGTTGGTAAATCTTCATAACTTTGTTTTGAGTCTTTGTGAGATGGGTCTGGATGCAGCATACCGAAGGATTTTGGCTTTTTACCCAATTTGCCTGTCAGTGTCTTTTGATTGAGAGATTTAGTCTATTTAAATTTAGGAATGTATGTGAGTTTAATACTGCCATTTGATGCTAGCTGGCTGTTTTGCCCATTAGTTGATGTAGATTCTTCACTATGTTGATTCTCTTTACTTTTTGGTATATTTTTGGAAAGGCTGATACTGGTCGTTCCTTTCCATATGTAGTGTTTCTTTCAGAAGCT